TAACCCAAGTTCAAACCTCATTTCTGCCCTATCCTGGCCATGTGTCTTTGAAGCAGTCATCCACCCTTCTGAACCTCGGCTTCCCTATGTGTAACTCAAGAATCAATTATTTCCACCTAGTGGCGAGGATTTGGTTAGATAACACTCATCAAAAGTCCCTGTGGTCCAGGGCCAGGTGCATGCTAGGTGCTCAGCAAATGTTATTTTCCTTCACAGCAAGGAAAAAGGAATCTCCTCGCCATTGCTTTTTTCCTCTAGTACAAGCATCCATGGTCACCAGTTAAGGAAATGAAATGAAATGAATGAATGAATGAATGAATAAGTACTGTATGTCAAACCATTTCAGTGCAGACGCCCCATATTCTGAAGCATGATCTGTTTTCAAGAAGTCAACAAATAAATAAAGGATGGAATTGGAAGATGAAAGACGCCTCGCCCCCAACCTACCTTGTGGCTTTGGATAAGTCATAGACTTTCTGAGACTCGGTTTCTTTTCCCAGGTAACCATGAGTAGAAGAGACCAAGGTTACTGCATTTTGTAGAGCAGTAAAGCCTTTCATTCCCAAATGATCTTATGCATAACTACAGTATACAGGGCAGGGAAAAACAGAGATGCTCTGATTGAAGCAAGGTTCAGGGAGGGGGTGTCCCCTGCCCCTTCTCACCCCGCAGCACTCTCTGATGCTATTTTGAGGAACCCCAGGGCTCTAGGAACACAGTGTGACAGCCGTTGGACTCAGACACTTCCCTGCTTAAATATTCCAAGATTCTGAGCCTAACAGCCACCGCCTTGCCACTCCATTCATCCTGAATGGGCGTGTGTATGTGTGTGTGTGTGTGTGTGTGTGCACGCACGTGTGCGTATGTACCACAAACAAATGCTCAGAAAGAAAGAGAAAGAAGTTCCACCAGCCATTAGGGGGAAATTACAAATGCATTTTTCTTTGCCTCCGGCACATTAATAAAAGAGATCACAAAACTGGAAGTGAGTTGAAGCAGGGCGGCATCACAGCAATCGCGGGGGGCGGGAGGGGGGCTGCTTCCTGTACAGTCATCTGATTTCATGGCCGTTCCCATGCTGAGAGAATCTGTCTGCGGCGGCTGCTGGGAGGATGTGGAGCTCATGCATTAAACATCAGGGGGACCCTCGCAACATGCATCGTGGGCAGGGAGGACAGGGAGGAGGAGGTTCTGTTCGGAGCACAGGCTGAGGGCACACCGGTGACATGCCACTGCTCGGCAAGGCTGGCGCAGAGACCTAGAAATGATTTAATGAGGGCTTGGGAAAATCCACACAAAAAAATGCAGGGTAGAGGATGAAGGAAGAAGTAAGATGCAAAAAGCACAGACAGTCTAGGGTTTTGAATATGGGAGGGCTACCGGGGGGTTCCACACTGGGTCACTAGTCTCAGTGGTCACAGCAAATGGTTGCTCTATGCTGTGAGCTCTTGGGGCTAAGTGCTGGCATTGGTCATTGGAATAGACTACATTGTTAACCCTGGGCCTGTACATTTCCTTCACTTGTGCCTTTTGCCATGCAACGGTTCAGCCTCTCCACCTATGAGTTGTATCCCCATACTTGGAGCTTGACCACATTCCTGATTTTGGCTAGGGGTATATTAGATGATCCAGTGTGCTAGTTCTAGACTAAGACCTTAAGAAATCATGTGTGTCTCCACTATTTATTTTGCTTCTCTACCCTCCCCACAAGAGGAATATGTTCTAGCTTGACTTCTGGACCACAGACGAAGACAGATACCTGAAGCTGAGCCAGACACAATCTCCAGCTCAGAGCCTCCTGATCTGACTTGCAGAACAAAACTAGATGAGAAATAAATGCTTATTGTTGTATGCAAGGAAGATTTAGTGGCTGTTTGTTATGCAGCAACAGCTGACTGATACAGTTATATATGAAGTCATTCATTTTGTTCATGTATTTGTTCATTCAGCAATCACCTTCTGAGCACTTCCATGCCAGGCATTTTGGTAGGCAGCAGGGATATAATGGTTAATAAGAAATCTGTAAAAATGGGCAGAGATTTCAGATTCATTAATTCAAGGATTGAACATCTACTATGTGCTGGGCATGGTAATTGGTGCTGCAATTACAGTGGCAAACAAAATATATAAAGCCCCTGCACTCACGTGGTGTACAGACAGCAGATCAAGCAAACAATACAGAAATTTTCCCAAAAGCTCACTGAATAAGGCTGTCCCTTTGTTCTAACTAGTCACCTTCAATGCAAAACACAGAGAAGTCAGTAGATCATTACAATCCAAATTGTTAAGCACCGAAATGAGAGAACTACAAAGCTTGTGGAATGCACCTTACCCAGGGTGGAGTTGGAGATAGGAAGAAAGTAAGTAGGGAAA